TGTGTGGATGTGAGTGTGGGTGTGTGGATGTGTGGATGTGAGTGTGGGTGTGTGGATGTGAGTGTGGGTGTGTGGATGTGAGTGTGGGTGTGTGGATGTGAGTGTGGGTGTGTGGATATGAGTGTGGGTGTGTGGAGGTGAGTGTGGGTGTGTGGATGTGAGTGTGAGTGTGGTAGATGACAACATTTATCTCTACTCCCACACCCACACCCACACCCTAATCATATTCGATGGGAATGTTCATCGAAGATCACAAACCGATGACCATGTCATTTTATACATACAAATACTCTCTCTGGTATAGGTCCTATGATGAAAATATTATAAGATGTTTGAAAAATGCAAAATCATGTACTGGTCTATGTTAAATACGAGGATATTGAAAAGACCACATTAGCCTATCCAGATTAACTGTTGTTTTGCAGATATGGCAACTCAAATATTTTTATTTTTCATAAAACGCACAAATGTGACTTAAGCAAAAGCAGACAATACTCATTTGAATATAATTAGCTCGAAGCAAATAATGCTCGCACATAAGCAGTTCACATAAAGATGATGCTATTAATTGGCAAGAAGCGAAATGTCTGCAGCAGTAAGTTCTCTTGAATAAACGCGTAATTCGTCAAGATCACCAAAATAATTACCGCTATATATCGAGACTGTACCACATGGACTTCCGGCGAACGGATAGGCGAGTGTCAGAAAGTTGTATTTATCCGGTGCAATGTAGACCATGGAGCCTGTACTGCCGATCAATGTGCCATTGACATACAATCGAATGCCATTTGATTGAGAGTAAGTACTAGTAACATGAGTCCATACATTGATCGGTAGAACAGGACCTACTACTTCTTGTACGGTACCATTCCAAGAAGCGGCAACCACCTGTCCCATCGATGACAATCCTATCATATCAACACACCATCTTTGATCATTCGTATTTGAATAGAGGCGAGTGATTGTTCCTCCGCTAGTTGATCGTGGTTGCACCCATAAAGCAAATGAAAACGAGTAGTTAGAAATACTGAGCAGGATAAAGCCATTCATCTAAGAAAAATTTTCAAGTGATTAGTCTATAATATCATTTGAGGACACTATTTGAACAGTCATACAGTTTCATTTTTCAACATCTATTGAGATTGCTTTAATCCGAAAATTTTTCGAAACAAATACTACTAAACTCACTATATTTGGTCGACTTTGATGCATTTCAAGAAGAAATCTAATTGAGACATGATTTCTATTTCTGACAAGTTTGCCATAAGATCTTTTTTTCTCTGGCACCTGTGTAAAAGTTACAATAGTTTCAGTTTGAAAGAGGCAAATCGCAGTTCCACTTCATAGGAACCGATTTGAATAAACACTTCTTGTGAGAAAGAAATATTGCTAACTCATGACAAAAAGTTGCCTTGTGAAAACGAAGAAATATCATCATGGCTTGTAGAGTCAGACTATTTACAAAAGAGGGATTCTTATTATTAATAGTTGAACCCATAAAGATTTGGATATGTAGACGTTTGGACTCAAGATAATAAAACACCGAATGGTATTAACATAGTAACACCATTTTTTTGGGAAAACTGAAGTTTCAGTGTTTAGACTCAAATTTTGCACAGACATGGCCTCGATAGAGATGAATTTTGTGCTGAAGTATTCGTTTATTTTAAAATAGTTTCTGTTTCTGTCTACGAAGTTGAAAACCTAATTAAGCGTGTGCTACTCACGAGGGAACATATGCAAGTGTAAAATCGCTTTTGAGTTCGGACTCTGTGCATAAGGTAGATCCCAGTGAGGTATGAAAAACCCTAAAAGGATAAGGGCTGTTAGGTCTTCTGTCCAGAGTTATAGGTATTTTACTGGAATTTTAGCCTATGGCATGATATATACCAACAAATCGAATGATTG